CAACCAAAATGAATCAGATTTCCTTCCTTTTGGCAGGCTGAAGTCGAAAATAGAAAATTAGTGAAAAATTTCTATAAATAATTTTATTATTCTCAAAATTTTCTAATCTTTATTTATTAAACAATACAAAATAATATTCTTATTAATCATCACTGAAAATTTGCAGAAGCTTTTTAATCTTCACAATGATATTTACATTTTCATTGAACAAAATTAAATTTGTGAACAGATTTTATTCAATATAAAAATTGTACGAGATAACATTTGTTCACATGAAATATGAATTTAGTATTCCTGACTTTATAGGTATATAATGAACCATTTCAGTGTAATACTCAACAATTATACATTTTATTCTGCAAGTATGTGCTACTGAAAAGAAAACTATCAGTTTTAAATTAATAACAGACTTGTAAAAACAAACAGTTCTTATAAAGGAAACATATCTAATAATTTTTAGATGTAAAAAGAAAGAAAAAGCATGAAATTAATATAAAAGTCAGTTTTTTTACATAGAATGCCATAAAAAATCATTTTCATTTATAAGGTAAAACATTTGATACTGCAATCTTCACTGAAAGGGCACTGCAATCTGCACTTCCTAAGGTTGCAAATTTTCACAGAAAATTTGATGTATTATAAATTAAAGAAGTTTAAAACTATATCTCTTAGAATGAGGATTAAGTCTGAAATCTGTAATAAATAATATCGATTAGATATGGTGTTAAAAATAAAATAAATATATGAATAAAGAAGTACTTTAATTGCTGTCAGATCACTATTTGTTGAATAGGTCCAGTTACAAATTGAAAAATAAAGATACAAAAATATTACGAAATATTTGATAACTGGCTGTCTGTTAAGTCGTGCGAAACGAATTAGAGATGGTATGTCTCGTGCAAGGACAAGCATTTGCTAGGTCGTGGAGATGGTAAATACCTGGTAAAATGTAACGTAAGACCTAAAAATTTGGAAAGGTGTTGCTGTAAACATATCTAACGTCAAAACATGGTCAACGTATAAAAACATTTAAAACGTAAATAACGTTTAAAAATATGTTTAAAATGGATAATTTAAATGATGACAAAGCACACGCAGACTATCTGCCTAAAGGAAAGGAGCCTTCTTGAAGGGCTTTTTAACGAAACTGGCTCATATTCACCATAAACATGGAGAAAACCTCAAAACCCCTATGCTGCCAGCTCATTCCCCGAGATTTGAATCAAACTAGCAGTGTTCAACGCTTTTGTCGCTCGGCCGCTGGATAGGGGCTACGTCAGATTAAGCTGTAGAGTCATTAGGTTTTTTTTTTTTTTTTTGAAGCACGAAGTGCAGTGCTCTCACCAGTACTCGAACCCTGAACCTCTCTTATACGCCTCGAATATGCTTCCAATTAAATATCGATGGTATGCAGAAAAGAGGGAGAAAATACTTTATAAAGCTAATTCGAAGAACGAAAATCAGTAACGAGAATGGCAATAATATTGTGTAAAATTGGTAGTAATGGTACATGTCGAAGGATTTGTTTGTAACTTCTTGGCTGATGTAATAAGAAAATTTTCAGGATTGCATAGGCATTTGAGCATGTTAACGACAATTGTTTTGGCTAAGTTTCGTTCTTTTCGAAAAGATCTTGAATATATCTATAAAATAATAATAATATTTGAACATTAGTTTAGCTGTTTCTTTTTGTCCTTTTATTTAGTCTACTTTGCAATAGTTTCAATAAAGTGTGCAAAAATTACATAAAACTCTCAGATTTGGCAGTGATAAAAATAGAGTCCATCCGAGGGCACAAGAGAAGGAGTCCTTTGGTGCAAGATATTCAGAAAATTCTTCTAAGTATCCCACCAGATGACAGACCTATCCTGATCTTGGTTCAAGCTCATGTGGGTATTACTGGCAACGAAGCGGCGGACGTGCTTGCGAAATCTGCAGCCAATGACTCCAGTAGATTGGAAAACTCAGTAAGTGTTCCGCAGTCCTATTTTAAAAATATCACGCTCAATGGCCTTTTACAAGAATGGCAGAAAAGATTTGAAAGGGAAAGCACAGGTTTCCTACAAGTTCTTTCCGAAAGTTACATGCTCAGTTAATACATACAGCGGAGCACAAACTCAATTCTACACTGGCCATGGTCTCTTCCCATATTATCTTAAGAGATTCGGCAAACGAGCACAGACTTGTGTGAATTGGTGCGGCGGTGATGCATCACTTTCCTCTTCAACTGTCACAAACCAATAAACGGCATTTAAAAATGCCAAGCAGTGAATACTGGCTGCAATGGCGGAGAATACTTGCGGCAACAAGCAACGAAAACTAAATAGAGGAGGTAATCAGGCTATGCTCGCAGGTACTATGAAATTCTCCCCTCCTTGAGAATTTTATTTTATCTTCGCGCATAATTTTAATAGCAATTCAAAATACTACAACAACTGAAAATCAACACTAGAAAAATAGCCCACCCCGTAGAATAGTACAGGACTGTAAGAGCAAAACTTTGTATGTAGCATCTTACATCATTTGTTGTATTTGATAAAAAATATTGTAAAGCTTTTAATGATATTGAAAATCCTGTCAATTGTAAATGCATTACAATTTTATTTGATATCTCAGTAAAAGTATTGTAAATATGATTCAGATAATGTTAATGTACATGAGCGTCATGATTTAGTAACATCATTGTAACTTGTACAAGACAATGTTTGTATCAACATATCTATCTTATCACGGCCTTGTATGCCCAGTAATATTTATTTATATTTTACACGGAGGAATATTCCTTTTGCAGGATGGCTAAACACTGCAAGACTTTTACAACAAAGTCAGGTCAGTGGTTATGTCAGGCGGCGCTCAGTGATAAAAATATTCACACTTCCTCATACAAAATTTAAAAGATGTTTCCTTGAAGTTTCTCTTTCACATGTTTTAATTGTGATCATAATTCTGATAAACTTATGATCACTATTATGATATAAATTTATAAACTTCAGGCGATTTTAAATTTTAACTTTTCCTGGTGATTATTACTTTTCTTTTTAATTTATCTATTTCAAGATATCTTAAGTCTAGAAAAATAATCAGATCTGCGTCCCTTTCTACTTTTTGTCTATTTTTGGTAACAGTCACGTTAGCGTGACTTCCTCTTTCTTTTTGTATTTCTCTAAGTAATAGTTTTTCATAACTGTGAAATATGATCTTTCTTTTGCTCATTATTCTTTCTGCTTTCCAATTTGCAACTGTATAATGCAGTAATGCAATTAAGTTCATGGCTGTTTAAGAAATCCTTTCTCTGCGATCTCATAAATTAATTAACGTACGTTTGAGACACGAAGGAGATATCGTCACCATTCCCTTTTATTCTTTAGTCTCAGTTACCAAAGCTTTCGGTAACTCTATCCCCGTACCGTACGCTCTTACACATAAATATCATGAAAGGTTTAGAAACTAAGTAATTTGTTACATTTTCCATTTTAGTTAAATTAAAATCGATAATTATAAGAAAATATTAATATATTTATAATTGAACTTTTATAACTGCTTTTTGTTGAATGGTATGTAATTAATTTTAAATTAACTCTGATATCATTTATTAAACAAAAATTTTACTTAGCAATTTAAGACTTTATCGTGTTGTTAGGTAAGCAATTTGTGCCAGCATACATTTATAGCTTTAATTATCAGCTAATAGTTTATAAAATAATTATACTAATATCTCATGTTCTGATTTAATTTTTCAAGCAGACAAATAGCATAAAAACAAAACATTTTTTTTTTTTTTGTTTCTGTAGAACAGTTCTCCCTTCAATTCAATAATTTTATTTAAAATCTAAGTCAATGCAATCCCTCCCCTAACTTTATGTTTTACAATGATGTGTTTTGCATACAGAATTTATTTGTTTGTTAAAAGTTTTCTGAATTTAATCTAAGTGTACTAAAGTAATCTAAGTGTTCTGAACTTATGATTTTTAACTTTTCACTCGAAAGTAATGCACGAGAGAGATAATGATAATCTTTCTTATGCATCATTTATCATCGTGCTTATGATTTTTAACTCTTCACTGGAAAGAGAATGATGCACTTACGAGAAATTCATGAGAAAGTAATTTTCTCTTGAAATTAAATTTGCGTTTGATTTTAACATCATTAACATTCCTAGATCGCTGAATTCTAAGAAATAAGGTGTATTTAATTATGGCAAAGCACACTAGGGCTATCTGCATAAGGGGAGAGATGCCTTCGTGGAGGACTTTCTAAGGGAAACTGGCTCGTATACACGTTACACTTGGGGAAAACCACGAAAACACCCATGCAGCCAGCCCGTTCGTGGGATTCGAACCTCGGACCGAAACTACCAGTGTTCAGCAACTTTACCGCTCGGCCGCTGGTGGGCTCTAAGAAATAAGGGATACATCTGTTTCGAGAGTACAAAACAACTGTGACTCCTTCTGTTCTTTAATTAGGTAATAAATTATTCATTAATATATAAAATTCGTAATTGGTAAATAAGAAATTATTTTCTTTAATCACATACATACATACATTGGTTTCTACTGACTTAGTGGACTTCTAGGGCTGTGTAAGTATCTCATTGTAGTATTGTAGTATATAAAGTGAAAGAAATCGATTCACTTAGTTCACCAGTTTAGGAATTTTCATACTTTATATATATATATAGTTTATTTCATCGTGTGTCCAGCTGCGGATATCATTTGGGGGAAAATATAAAACAAAATTAATATTCATTTCTAAGCAGAAAGAAGAGGCAGGGGAGAGAAAGAGAGTAATAACAGAGGCATTTTTTATTGCTGCATCATTTTGAAAGGAAAGCGGCAGAATGAAAGTACTAGATGAAGTGAAGTAGCATAAAGGATAAATTCAGGAATTCTCTGTTCGAACTTTTTGTTTCTTGCGGAAGGATATTATTGCAAGTAAACTGGTTCGATGAAAGCAAAGTCACAACTCATTGTTGTTCCGTTATTTGTAACGCAGAGCTGTGAGTTTAAATGAGTGAAGCCAACCGCGATAGGTAGTGAATTCTTTTTGCCGATTTTTATTGTTAATTCAATGCTTATCATTTACTTACAGTCGTTTTTTTCTATCTTAAAATATTCTTTCTTACATTTTTATTTATGTTTTTGTAAACATGTAGTAAGTTTTGCTTATTTCTACTACTGATATATGTTAAATTAAGTATTTTGAAATAATAAATTTTATAATTATTATTACATTGATAATGGTTCATTTCATAATGATAATGAAATTTATTAAAGTATTAGATTTAATGTTAAGATTTATTATGCACTTGTATTAATCTTTTAATTGGCAAATGATGAAAACACACGCAAGCTTCTGAGTACTCATGTTAAATAAAGGGTTAAGATACCTTTATTTGCTTATTTATTTGCAAATCGCCTTTGCCTAAATTTTTATTAATTTTCACTTTGTCTTTTCCTAATATAACGGAGTTTTGAAATAAGAATGAAGAGATTTAAAACATCCAGAGAAAATGGGCCATACCTTTTGCATACTCGAAAAATCTTCCGGATATCCGGAATAGGATATCTTTTATCTGTAGGCACCATATGTATTTACTGTAATGCAAGTAAGAGAATTTTATTTTGGTTATCGAGTTTTATATGAAACAATTAAGCAGTTAAAAAAATCTCCCACCCCCATTTAACATGGTGCAAAACGATCCACTCCCTTTCAAGTGTACTATAATGAAGTTACTATTACTTGCCTAAAAACGCAACAAACATTCCCATTTCAAATATTTTGGGCCAAAATAAAACGCGAAAGTTATATTCTTATTGCTTTAAACACATGTTATGTATTAAAATAAATTGAACATCCACTGATGTTTAACTTGAATTGGTAAGGAAGATTAATGAACGATTTTAATGAAGATTAAAATAAGTAATTAGATGGACAATAACTTTAATTTTATTACGCTTAGATAATAAGGGTTACGAATATCTGAAATTCAGATGATCAGGGTTCTATTTTGGTTGTTTTGCAATTAAGTATTTTACCTGCACAAGGTAAGTTTTTGTGCTTTAATCCAGATTATATGAAAATTTCAAATATGTATTATTTGTTCATTCAGTAATTCATAAATCTGACACTGTTTTAGTATATACTGTGTTGTCTTATTATTTAACTGAATACGGTAAAGCACAGAAAGACTATTTGTCTAGAGGGAAGATTCCCTTCGTGGAGGTGAAATTGGCTCGTATTTATTACGTATGAATTGGTTAGTTGGTTAATATATTAGGGCAAAGCAACTGGGTGCTGTCTGCCTATAGAAACAGATGCCCTTTTTTTACAAAGTAACACCTTGGGTTTCACAACATTTGCAACTCGAAACTAAAAGGGAAGGGATTTAAAATTGAACTAGCCAAAAATTTCATTCAGAGATGATCAATTGTAAATATGCTGTAGCTTCAAGACTGATTAATCAGCATTTATTTCTGAGCATCTGTTCAACATGAATTGCTGTTCGCTATTCAAAATATTTTCTGAACTGGTAAAAATATCCTCATGCTTATTCAGTAGTTGCTTGATTCGAGTTCCTATGAGCATCTATCTAATGAATTAAAAAACAATGCACTCATCAAGTGTAAATTTTGTCCAGCGGAGAAGCATATAGCCATTGACCTAGCAGCTGAAGAGAAAAGGGCTCCCAAATGTGCTTGGAATCTCAAATTAGATTTCACCTACATTTTACTTCTGACTATCAAGAATCTCAGTAGCTCGCGACAGAGTAAATTAGAGAATTTACTTTTGCAGAGCATGTAAGGTTATTTTATTTTGGTCATAACAGTTTGGCCTTATTTAACTTTCATATTTTACATACTCGTTTGGTCGAGAAAGCTTCTTGAAGGAAATATACAAACGGGAAGTGAAATTTAATGAAGCTTTACTTGCGATCAGTAGAAGCTCTGACTTGCTACAGCGATGTTCACGTCTTAGTGAATGTTGATCTTAAATAAGGACGTGCGGGTAATACGTAAGAGAAAATACTTTGTGCGAAAGCCACCGTTATGATTAGCTTTCGTCAAGTTGCCACTTTTAGCTAAGAATTTTATTTTTGCTTTGAAACCGCGCATTGATGTTTAGTCTGCAGATTCACAAATGTAATTATTTTAACATGTAGTTGAATCAAATTAAGTTTAAGTTTTTATTTACATACAGCAAAACGCACAAGGACTCTCTGCCTAAGGAAAAGGATACCTTGGCAGAGGACTTAGGGGAACTGAATGCGTATTCACAATAAACATGTGGAAAGACACGAAAAACATTCATGCAATTTACGTCCTTTCGCTTGGGTTCTAACGTGACATTCCTAAGAGGAAAAACATGAACTGAAAAACACGGCAGCGTTTTCTGAAAAATTAAATTAACTTTGCATTTAACTTTGTTGTAAAGGGGAAGTCCATTACATGAGCTGGATATCAACTTTTTGGCTGAAAACGTTACTTTCATATATCGCCAATCAATTAATATTTACTCTCAAAAAAAACAATTTAGAAATTATTTTTAGCTTTCAGGCTTTCTGAAGACATTTTAATTAGCTTTCTGGATAAATATACTTGAAAGAACAGTTAAGTAAACAACTAATAATTTACAGTAATTTAAGCGGTACTTACGGAAAATCCCGTCGACCACAAGAGACCGCGACAAACAAAAAAATATCCATTTACTAAATACAAGAAAAAAGTTCTATTCTTATTTTTCTTTCAAATTTATTGTATATATTTATATTTAATTTTTCATTAAAAATTTTCGTTATTTTTTATTAAGGAGATATACTATAAAAGCAATTATTTTCGCTAGGCGTTAATTTAATCGCCGGTAAGATTCCATAACTTTGGAAATATTCAACAGCATGCTCTTCTGTAGTAGGCAAGTCCCAAATTTTAATCATTTTTTTCCCCCGAAAATTCATGATACAGGGGAAAAAAGCAGTTTTTAGTCAAGAATAATAACTAACACGTGTAATCAAGGTTACACAAAAACCAGCGTATTTGAATAAGACTTTTCCATTTTTTGGCGAAAAATCGCGTACTTTGGAGTCTTTTCTTTAATAGGCAAAAATGGTCGACGGGAATTTCCGTAAGTACCATTTAAGCATAAACTGAAAATTGCTGTGGCGAATTTTTCTCTTAAAATACATTAAACTTTTTATTTTTAGGATTAAAGGTAAGATATATTTTATTAATAAGAAAAATTTTATTTTAGAGATCATTCAAAAAGTTAATTTAATTTTTCAGACAGTCCACCGCTCAGCATTGACACTACATGAAATCTTGAAATATACTTAAAAAAGTTCTTAAAGCTATATCTAGAACCCGTATTTAAAAAAATAACCTGTAGCCATCTTTTTCTTTTTCCAAACACCCTTTCTAAACCGCATAAATTATATTTCAACGAAGGAGTAAACAGCATTGATAGCTGTTGAAGGTACAGAAGGTTTTGTCTTAGCTGTTCTTGAACACCTTTATTTCTGCTGAAGAAACCTACAGCTTTAGAAATGAGAATCTTATTTGAATTAGTGGCTTCATTATTCAAATTTCAGGAATTCGGTTAGTCTTATTAGTGGCTTTCCTAGAACCAGCAACATATAGAAAGAAACAAGATATCGTTATAACCGAAAAGCGATAAGATCAAAGGAAGCGGAGGTCAGAGCCATATGCTTTAAACTATGTGAAATAAGAATTCAGTCAGGTAATAGTCGCCAAGGCTGTTCTGTAAGACTTGCAGTGTTGCCAAGCCTAATCGGCCCCGTCGTGCAAATGTCTAGCGAGCGCCTTTATGTAGTGACGATATTGAAGGGACATTGCTTATGGTTAACATTTAAAATGAAACATTATTAACATAATAATATGGAAAAACAACAAAATTACATTTTATCTTTCCATTTGTCTAAATATACAAACATTTTGTGCTTTGTTAAAATTCACGCACAAGCATATTTATTGAAGAATTATACATACATTTATGTTATAAAAAGCCGCCCAACCGTTGTAGTGGTTAGCGTTGCTGACTGCTGTGCCGAAGGGCCCGGGTTCGAATCTCGAAGAAGGCATGGATGTTTATAAATGTATAGTGTCCGTGAGGCAGGGAGGCACTCTAAATATGCAAGGCGAAAGTCCTCTCGAAAGGCCGGAGGTAGGGAAAGAGGGGTGGGAGACGCTCGCCCCCCCAGGATGCTCTCCATCAAAATTGGGGACGAAACTGAGCTAAATCGCACCGTCACCTGTTACGTACTCAAGGCTGTTGCCAACGGCAGGCGTATCTTGCGTTCCTTGCAACGAGGACTTTCGTGGGCTTGGACTGAATATAGGCCAGACAAGTGAGCATTAGTCAACAACAACAATATGTTATAAAAACGTAACACTGCAAGCGAAGCGAAATAATATACTAAACGCATTGATTACCAAATATATTGCTGAACACTATTTATTATCTTAAAATTAAAAACAATATAATTTAGATATCTAATAAGTTTGCATTACATAAATTGTTGTTCGCAGCGTAGTATACGACAAGGTTCAAAGAGCACAAAAAATGCTCTAGGGCTGATATCTAGGTATATATCCAAAATTCTTTTTTGCACACCGCTATGTTTTTGACAACGATATAGCTTAGAGTTTCAACCGGCGTTTTTACATTTCCTCCAAAAGTTTGCAAAAACTTCAGTTCATGCATAAGATCTATACTATTTATATCGCTTTTGATTTTTGTTAGTTAATGCTTTTTGCGGTTTTTGATATAAATGGAGTTGATTTTGTAAATATATATGAACGAAAATACGTGATGCCAATGCGTATGTAAGGATACAGGCCGGCGCCGTAGACGCGGTCGACAAATTGCTTAGTCAGTGTACATAAAAAAGGTAAGTCCAGTTACATATTATGTTAAACTTAGGTTAGCTTTTTAATTCAGAAAATCAACGATTTGAACATAATTACTCGATTTCTTTTTACATGAACCATTTGTTTATTAATCTAAAAGTTATCTTCT